ACCTGAAACCATTGGGATAAACAACATGCCTGGTATATGTAATGAATTCAGTCATTGCATAAGGCAGCAAATGGAGAATTCATGCAGAAGCCAAACAGCAGCGAGAGTGAGCAATGCATTTCATATGGAGTTGAGCCCATAGTGAAATACCTGCTTAAAACTAAAAACCCCACAGCTCAATCCCAGAAAAGCTCTTGTAGGGTGAGGTTGTTGCCTGGTGAGTCAACAAACAACAATACTAAAAGAGTTTGAAGGCAGCTGAATTGTAGCCTTGCTGCAATTTTTGAATACGTTTAAGATTAACTGGAAGACATTCCCAGCAGTTCAGGGCAAAATGCAAGTGCCAAGGCCAGATATTTGGCTTTTCCTGAATTCCAAATTGTTTGGGGGCAGAGCTGCAACCACTGAAAGAAAGAATGCTCTTGCGGTTAAGCGACTTGCCCAGGACTCAGGAGATGTGAGTTTAATTCCCAGCTCTGCCACAGAATTTCTCTGTGACTTGGGCAAACAGTTTTCAAAGCCATCCTGGGGAACCGGACACCCAATTCTCATTCATTTGAATGGGCCTAAGTTTCAAAACTGTGTCCCTAAGCAATTCAAAAGTGCAGACTGGACAGGGGAGATTTGTGTTTCCAGTTGCCAATACTACAAAGACCTCAATTAGGAAAATGGTTCTAATTTTAGTTAGAAACAGAAGTTAAAATTAAACTTGCATAATGTGACTATCATTCACTGGTCCCGCAGGATTTATCAGCAGAGGGGAGTGGATCCATTCGTGGGGTTCCCCCCATACAAACATAAAATTAAAACAATGTATATGCAATGGGAACATTATGGTTATGAAAGGCAGTGTGACAATAATGGTATCTAGAGACAGGCATTAGTGTGTGCTGCCCATACATAAATGCACCAATGCACCTCAATCTTGATCTGCTGCACCAGACACTATCCAGCGCTGGGCTCCTCACACACAGCTCTACTAATGGATATCAGTCCCACCGACACCCCCACTCCCTTTCCCACTCTAGTCCTATCTCTGGGCCTCACAGACCTCTCCTGATGCCCTTCAATCATAAAAATGGCCATACTAGGTCAGACTACTGGTCCATCTAGCCCAGTATCCTGTCTTCCGATAGCGGCCAATGCCAAGGGCCCCAGAGGGAATGAACAGAACAGGCCAATTTATCAATTGATCCATCCCATCATCCAGCCTCAGTTTCCAGCAGTCAGAGATTTAGGGACACTCAGAGCACGGGGTTGCATCCCTGACCATCTTGGCAAATAGCCACTGATGGGCCTATCTTCCATTAGTTCATCTAATTCCATTGGAACCCAGTTAAACTTTTGGTCTTCGAACATCCCCTGACAAGAAGTTCCGCAGGTTGACTGTGTGTTATGTGAAGAAATACTTCCTTTTGTTTGTTTTAAATCTGCTGCCTATTAATTTCATTGGATGACCCCTGGTTCCTGTATTGTGTGAAGGAATAAATCACACCTTCTTATTCATTTTCTCCACACCATTCCGGATTTTATTCATCCTCACCCTACTCTTCCAAGTCACGGTCCCTCAGCCTGCTCAGCCCCCTAAGGCAGGAAGCCTCAATCTCCCAGGAGCAGAGACGGCCAGATGTATCAAACTGCACAACAGTTTTGCAACGTGCACCAACACAGACTTAGAGTGAGACCCTACAACTCACTTTTTCTTGCCGCCTGAGCCAAGATCTGAATCCAGGCCTCCAGAGGCGAAAAGCCCTGAGGGGTTTTCAATTAGCCCCAGTGTCCCTCCTGCCCCATATCCCGCTGAAATTTCATATTTCTGATTAATTCAATGAATATGAAAACCAATTTGGCTAAAAATAAAACCTCTTTACCTCCAGTCAAACATCCCTCAAATAATTTCAAATATATGTAGGTGCAAACCAATCCTGGATCAAGCTTATCTACTATATCAAAGGAATATTAAACTAATGATCAGGAAGAAAGGTATCAGAAGACAAAAGACAAAGAGGGGATAGCTGTATAAAAATGGAAATTATAAAAAGTTGATCCCATTTAAGTGGCCAGCTAAACCTTGAAATAAAAACCTATTATTAGCTCTCAATCCCGAGTAACGTTCAAACATAAGAGGGGGCAGAAAGGTGATCCTCATTCTTCTGACATTCCCAGCATGTTGATTCTCACAGAAAGACTCTGCAAGCAACTCAGGAGATGGGGCTTTGCACAAATGTTTGCAGTAAAAACCATAAGCAAGCGTGACTCACCTCATTCTCGTCTTGCTACAAGTTTGGCGCTAGGGCCAGGTTCATAAGCTGTTTAGCCCGAGTGCACCCACGGGCTAGATTTGAGGGAATCTCAGCAGAGATAGTATCTCACATCGAAATTGAAATTTTGTGGTTTTGCACAATTTTGTCCCTGCCAAAAAAAAAAAATCCCTCCCAGATGAAACACTGCTGTCATTCCTGATTGTTTGTTTTAAGATTCTGAGCATGTGCAGAGCTGGTACATCAAGCAAGAAACCTGGGAGAGGAAGCATGAACCCCAGAGAGATCGACATGTTTGCACAAACCCCTACGAAGTGAAGCCACTGAGTTTTGCCCAGACTTACTTGTGAATAGACCCTGTAGAAGAACGGTGAAATTATCTCATTGAAAGTTTTTTTGAATATTTTGGGGGAAAGTATCAAAATGTCTAATTCTCAAAGTTCTAAGCAGCTCTTCCCAGAGTTCCTCCAAAACCAACCAGGGACGAGACTAGATGATCTCTCAAGATTCTTTCCAGCCCTACATTTCTAGGATTCTATACTACGTGTTTGTACTGTTCCTAGAACGGTGGCTCTCAACTTTTTTTACTGGTGACCCCTTTCACACAGCAAGCCCCTGAGTGCGACCCCCCTTATAAATTAAAAACACTTTTTTATATATTTAACACCATTATAAATGCTGGAGGCAAAGCAGGGTTTGGGGTGGAGGTGGACAGCTCGCGACTCCCCCCCCCCCATGTAATAACCTCGCGAGCCCCTGAGGGGTCTCAACCCCCAGCTTAGCACAACAGGCCCTTGATCTCAGTTGGAATCTCTATGCATGACTGTAATACACACAATTATGAGTCTTGGAGGAGAATTGTCCCATATCTCCCAGGTCCTAGCAACAGCAACACACACCTCGGTTTTGGTTTTTGTTGTTTTGGTGGGGGGGGGGGGGGAGGAGTGTCCCTGCACTCCCTCTCTCATGATTCATGTTCTCTCCAAGTGCCACTGTAGCGGCCCCCAATGGAGCTGCTGCAGCTCATTTCCCTTGGGAAACTTTTGTTTGAACGGCAGGCACACAAAGTCGGCTGCTCAAACACTTACTTTCGGCCCGCATGATGGGAGAGCCATGTGACATTTGGAGGCATATAAACCCCTGTAGCTTCCCTGTGTAAATACTTTGGATGGTCTATTTCCAAGGCACATTTCGATTCGTTCTACAGTTGAGTGTCACCTCTATGCTTTGGTACTTTGAGTCATTTGTGCACCGATGGAGGGAGAAAGGTCAACATTGCGTAAAAATGCCACTAAGGAAAAAAGCAGGAGATCAAGCCAGGTAGCATTTTGGGTTAACCCCTTTTCTGAAAAAGGAGGAGATGGGGCAATTGCTGAAGTAACCTTCTTTGGAGCTGCCTGAGTAAGAGGGAGGAAGCCGTAAGAGAAACAGCCAGTGACAATCTGGACACATACATGAGCAAAAACTAAAAACAGAATCCAAAACCAGGAGCATGCAGAATTAGGCCTTGTCTTCAACACGAGTCAAATCACGCTACCTACTACCATCTCTAGTAGACGCTGTTGTTGCTCGCTGGGTTCTAGCGTGACTTCTGCAGAAGGACGCAGCATGTCCCCCTCCTCAAGAGGGATGTTAGGGCCACATTCTAAAACGTGGCTAGAAGGCTCATCTACACTGCAAAATCAACTGTGTCAGAACTTATTTGCTACACAAGTGCAACACGGTAGGGTTTTGCACTGAGCTGAACTGTTTTAACTCTGTCCCCAACTGGGCTATGGTCCTACCAATGCCCCAATGCTATAGCAGCGCTCAGAATCGCTGTTAAAAATGACTCAGTCCGATCTACACGTCAAGGCTCAGCCACATTTTAACCAGAAATTAGTGTCTAACTGAGATGCCCTAACTTGACTGATTTTTTAGTGCAGAAGGGACCATAAACTAGAGCTCTATATGCACTAAGCAATCTACTGGCTTGTACGGCACGATTAACCTGTGGAACTCAGTGTCACATGGTAGCATTAAGTATACGAGCTTAGCAGGGCTCCAAGAAGAATTTAACCTTCACATGGATCATGAGAACACTCTCAGCTAAATGTGCTTAAAAGCAATAATGTTCTGAACATTCTTGTGCCTAGATACAGCGACTCACATTATAACCATGCTCTAGCCTTTGTAAAGACCTTTCATTAACACAGTTAATTATTCTCTGGTCCCATCAACAAAGAACCAGTTATAGAGACCCAAGCATTTTTGTAGCTGGACAGACTACCGCCACAATTTTGAATAATACAGAACATTTTTCCCCACCTAAAAGGAATGTGCAGCAAAAGGTTTAAAACCTATTGTTTGGGTTTTTTAAGAAAATGCACAGGGAACAATAAACAAAGCTCTGAACTTTTGAGGGCCACCTTCTCCATGCAGCCGTGCATTCCCCATTAGCTCATCTTCCTAAGTCACATTGGTGGGAAAGAGAGCTGCATTCTCTGTGACCCTGAGGAGCCCAGAGAGAACGTTCTACATTCTCTTCCAATCCCCTTTCTTAACACAGTAACTTTTTAAAACATTTTGAGTAGAGCTGGGGGAAAAAATTCAAATTTGCACCAAAAAAAAAATTGGTTTTGTAATTTTTTTCCCCAAAATTTTCACACACATTTTTCCCACACTTTGCAACCCGCTCTTGTTTTTAGTCCCTGCTACAGCATATGGAGCAGTAAGACAAATGGAATGGGGCGGACCTACCTTCATAGTTTGCCTGGAAGCCTTGAGCGCTGACAGCATAATCGCTCACGAGCCATAAAGATAACACAACTCCAGTGCTCACGATAGGAGCAGGCAGCTGGAAACCTGTTAACCTGAAAGACACCAAGAGAAAGGTTATACTGGCACATACAGGACAAGCCAGCAAGTCTAGGAAGACTTGTACTCACAGGGATAGCTGCCACCTTGGCCAACATACCAGGGACTGAACCAGGAACTTCCAAACCTAAAAGCATGAGCGTCTACAGCTTGAGCTCAAGAACCAAGTCTATTTAACTGTTATAGCCTCTTTCCTTCATGCCCTTGGAGATTTTTTCATATGTTTTGGCATTTAGTTTACTGGAACGAAGTTCAGCTAGCACGGATTTGTCTCTCCATACAGCGATCAGATCCCGTACCTCCCGTTCGGTCCATGCTGGAGCTCTTTTGCGATTCTGGGACTCCATGGTCACCTCTGCTGATGAGCTCTGCATGGTCACCTGTGCTGATCATCTTGCAATGCTGGCCAAACAGGAAATGAAATTCAAAAGTTCGCGGGACCTTTCCTGTCTACCTGGCCAGTGCATCGGAGTTGAGAGTGCTGTCCAGAGCGGTCACAATGGAGCATTCTGGGATAGCTCCTGGAGGCCAATATCGTTGAATTGCCTCCACACTACCCCAAATTCGACCCGGCAAGGCCAATTTCAGCGCTAATTCCCTCGTCGGAGGTAGAGTAAAGAAATTGATTTTAAGAGCCCTTTAAGTTGAAAAGAAAGGGCTTCGTCGTGTGGACAGGTGCAGGGTTAAATTGAGGTAACGCTGCTAAATTTGACCTAAAATCATAGTGTAGATCAGGCCTCGGGCTACAACAGACCTACATCCTCTGTGGATTGAGCACCAAGTGGGGCCTCTTACACACTTACCAGCGGCTGTTACCAATTCCTTCATTATCTACATTAACAGCCGTTCTGTTTACTTCTAGTCAGATTTTATATTTGCCATTTGGTTCACGGCATGACATTAAAAAAAAAAAAGACCCTCACACTTTATAGAAGGTACAGGGAGCCTAACCATTGTCTATTTATCTGCCTGAAGCTTTTCAACAGCCACCTGCACTGCTGTACCTAAGCACTAACCACACTCGCGTAGATTTGGAATGGTCACATATTCGTCCCCCCACATACTCCAAAGAGTGTAGTTCAGACACCAGAGAAAGGAACAGAGTCCAAATTCCCAAATTCTCATTCCTGGCTCTTTTTCCAACCCGTGCCGCGACCTAAGGCAAGTCACTTAGCCTCCTTGTGTCTGTTCCCACCACCTGTAAAATGAGAATGATACTCAAACTTCGGAAAGTCCCAAGGCTTCATTCATTAATATTTATAAAGCGCTTTAAGATCTGTGGAGTAAAGGCACTACATAAGCGCCTAGAGTGTTATACGAATAATATTAAGTTGGACTCTCAATCTAAAGGAGCAGAGGATGAGAAGCAATAAAATTGGCATTGCCAATTAGCTGCCTAGATTTACATCGACTATTTATTCTGTATATCTACCACAGACGAGGCTTGCGCTAGGAGCCGAGTGTTCTTAAGGCAACAGAACTGCCAGCTAACCCCAAAAGGAACTCTCCTCTGGACGAAGCCAATAAAGACATAACTAGCTCTTGCTTGTCGTCAGCGGATCTCAAAGTGCTTTACAAAGGAGTCAGTGTAATTATCCCCAGTTTATACATGGGGGAAGCAGCTTGCGCAAAATAATGCGGAGCACCGGAGCAGAGCTGGGACTGAATCCAGATCTCGTGAGTTTCAGTCCAGTGTTCTATCAGCTGAGCCAGTGGGTCTCCCTAAATGCCTTAGAACAGAGCTTTCAAGATCTTTAGATGACTGATTTCTTGCAAAGCTCTCGTATGCAATATATGGAGGGAGGGAGGGATGGAGAGAAGAAAGGGAAGGAGGTTACAGTCTGTGATTATAAGGGAAAATAGGAGTGAGACAGAGTGCTCCTCCAAATAATGATAATACCTATCTTTCATACAGCACTTTTTGTCAGTAGTTCTCAAAGCGCTTTATCCCCATTTTACATATGGGGAAACTGAGGCACAGCATGGCAGTAACTTGCCCAGGGTCACCCAGCAGGCCATCAGTAGCAAAGCTGGAGACAGAGCCCAGGTCCCCTGAGCCCCAGTCCGGTGGGAAAGAGACATGGAGGGAAGTGACACTCCTCACAAGAGAGAGGTGACAATTGTTTCAAAAACATGAGTACAATAAACAAAGCAAGAACAATCTTCCACGACATTGTGTCCTCGGCCTAATTACTTTGGACTGACAGATTGACTCTGAGTTACAAGGTAATTGTTAATTTTAATACAGAAGTTTGTTCATCAACATTTTTGAATTGGCATTATAGGATCCCAGGCACTAATTCCCTGATACTATATTGACACAGAGAATAGCTAATGTAAATTTCTAACAAACAATTACAGTTTTATAACTTATAATCCATCCCCTTGCACTTGGCTAAGATGATTTACATAATAGATTTACAGAACGAAAAAAAAATGTTTTTCAACCACTCATGTTAAATTCTTGCCTGCCATTCCCAAAGAAAAATCCAAATACAATCTCTTCTGTCTGAGAACACTCAGAAAAATCTGGCTGCTGTAAAAATATGTAAGAAAGAGCAATTTAGCCTATGGAACTCATTGCCACAAGATATCAAAGCCAAGAGCTGAGCAGGTTTCAAAAAAGAATTCAATATCGATTCAGATCCTGAGAACACCCACAGTTACAGTACAGGTGGTATTTTAAGAAGTTTTGAAGGAATATTCAGAGTATGAGCCAACCTCTCATTAATGTGGATAGGAAGGAATTTTCCCTTATGGGCAATTTAAATGCCCACTTCAGAGTTTCTTGCACCTTTCTTGAAGCAGCTAGCCTTGGTCAGAGACTGGGTACTAGAACAGCGAGACCACCCCAGTCTGATTCAGTCTGACAATTCCTATAGTCCTATAAAAACAACTAAGAGAATTTTATTCAGAATATTTCCCCTTCCTTGTATAGCATTAGGTCTGAGATAGAAAGTTGTCAGGTGTTCTACCACAGCCCCCTAAATACACTCATGACATACAACCATACCTATTTTAAGAGCTCTTTCATCAAGATAACACTAACGATGCAGAGTCATATATAGCATCTAATGTATTTAAATGACCCTCAACCCCATAGCACCTAAGTACGTCACAATCTGTTTAGTGTATTTATCTTCACAACACCCTGTGAGGCAGGGCAGCGCTATTATCTCAATTTTACAGATGAAGAATTGATGCACAGAGAGATTCAATGACTTGCCCAAGGTCACACAGAAAGTCTATGGCAGAGCAGGGAAGTGACCCCAATTTCCCATGGACCACACTAGCACCTTAGCCCCTGCCATTCTTCCTCTCTGAGGGCAAGAAGTAAACCATTAGGGCTGGGATTATTAAAGGAATCTAAATTAAAGGAGTTCGGTGACCAACTCCTCCAGGCTACTTTGAAAATTCAAGTCTAAAAAACAAATACAGACTCCCCACCCCACCCCACCGCGCCCCGCATTCTTGATATGTCTAAATATTGTGCCAAAAGGACTGAGCCCTGACTGAATAATGAAATTGGACATGCCCTGCCCGAGAAACTTATTAAAGAGAAACTCCTCAGTTATCACCAGCAAAACCCTTACAGTTGCTAAATATGATAGTCAAGTCTTAATGTAAGCTATGAAATATTGAAGGGCACAGATGCGGAGAATAAAATCCATTGTCTGCAGTATTTTAAGCCAATATTTCTGTTGAATAAAAAAATCAAGTTCTATTTTAAAGGGTTTGTATCCTTTCACCATGTATAGATAGGTAGAAAAGTGTGGTGGCTATTTTTAGATTTAATTAGAAGTGCTTATTGAAACCTCCAAGCACTTTATTTTTTACAATAAAGGCGTATACAGAAATGTGGAACAATTTTAATAAAACCATGCGTTGCAGATGACAGACAATTGCATAACCACCTCTCCTCCCCACCCCTCTATATAGGGAGATAGATATTATAGTATCTTGGGAGCAGGGACTAGAACTTTGCACCTTTATCTCCAAGACAGATCTGTACCATCTGAGCTAAAGAAGATCACCCCTTAGCTCGCTGCAGTAGTAAGTCTTTTATCTTGTCCATGGGTCCACAACTAGAGGGCACCATCGAGTAGAGTATTTTACACAGTCTCCACAAAAAGCCCCACAACAGATAAAAACTCCCTCTTCCCTGACACCCCGCACCCCTTCCCACACACAAACATTTGCCCCACTGACTGAGGGAAAGTTTAGAACAACGGTGTCCTCTGAGGGTCAAAAACTCTGGTCACTATCAAAGCCAAGGGGCAGAGCTGAAGACTCTTTGCTGAGTATGCCAGCTCACCAGTCCCCTCCTGTTACACCCAGGTAGGATGGAGCCATTCAGAAAAGTGCTTCAGCTGACTGCAACTATCCTGGGATCAAAGAAGAATAAGGGAATAGAGACATTATGAAAGAGACTGACCGCCACCAGCTCATTGCACACAGGGGTGACTTTGGGTCTCATGCCACCGGAGGCAGAATTGTTCTTACATCTGTTCACCACTAAAATTAACTGATACCAATAAAGGCATGAGGTAAGCCTGCCACTGTGCATTGCAAATCTCCAACCAACCCCTGTAAACAGACCAAAAGACAGCTGGACTTGCCCCAACCAGCTTCTCCTATTATTACTTCTGATAATGATGGTGCAGAGCAACAGCAGTTCCCAGACAGTGCCAAATCCCCTTTGCTCCCGTTTTGCAGTAAATGGGATTTTCAGATTGCAGATGCATAAATGCTGGCCTGAGACTGAATGGCCAATACGTCACAAGGCCAAGACTGGAAAATCCTAGCACATCCAGGGGTACGGCAACACTAAGGGGCATTCTAAATTCTTGCAGGCACAGAACCTTTTTGGTTTCACAGCATCACGATGCAGGAATATTGTGGAATTGATGCTTGGGTGGTGATTTCTGTCGGATGGAGACGGCAAGAGAAAAGGCTGTTACAACACTTGAGCTCGGGCTCATGTACATAATCCGAG